AGGCCCATAGTGAAGACAGATCTGGAAGATCCAACCCAGCTCCCAACAACACAGTGTGCTGCCCATACACATTTGAAACCAAATACACGTGCAGGTACAAACAAGTTCTTGGGTTCTGCGGACAGACCAAATTTCCTTATCCTCATCAGGGACAAATTTGCCTAGTTGTCCTTGGATGATCACATTACTGTATTGCAAAGTATAGAATCTGGCACCCATTAAACCACCATTTAGCATTTGCTTAACCAGGGGTGCCCGTGGGCATCATGGTAAGACCAGAAAGGGCAGGACAAGGCTTGCCTCAATGACCTTGCATCTGTCGGGGCTGGGGCTGAGGAGAAGCCAAAGCACAAACACCTGGCAAATCACATCCATGCCCCAAGGACATCCACCTATTGACATCTGTGCTGCCCTCTGTTTTTGCCAAGATGAAATCAGAAAGATTCCAGTTCTCAGGCTTGTCTACGCGATGGAGAGGGTTAAGTCAGCATTTTCAGGCACCCTTCCAATCGCAAAGCCAGATAGACTGTGATTACTGGATATTCCCCTCCCCGCAACACACAAATTAGCTTGACCTGAAAATCTTAACAAAAAGCAGAAAAAGCCATTCTAAAATACACAACTGGCTGAAGCAGGAAAAAAGGATCTTTTGTTTGTTTGTTTTTACAGATTGTGGTGGAGTCAAGCAAACCTCCGGAAAATTCCCTGTCCTCCAACTGAATTGGGAACTCATCCTATCCTTTCACCATTTCTATGACTAGTGATTGCATCAATTATGGAAGACTAAACTCACCTAGACAAAGAAAGGTCTCTGAACTCCCAAGAGAACAAGCCAACTCATGACCTGTTCTGACTCTGTGAGAACTCAGCTTCGCTCACCAGAGGTGAGAAGTCGGGGTGCATGGGACCCGCAGACCCATTAGCCGGTGACAACTGAGCATACAGGACGAGCAGCAATCACCATGCACACTGTCATTACAGTGATAATCACTTGCTAATGGGAGCAGCCGTAACTGAGATGTGCATTTAGCGGCTCTGTTTACAGACAGTCCCTGTAGCCCAAACCCGTGCCTTCCTTCCACCGGGTCTGGTTCCAAAGCACCTCCCAGGACACCAGAAAAACCTGCTGGGTATTGTGAAATCAACCATCAAACGAGGAACTGGCTGAAAATTCTGCAAGAGTTTCTGCCCTCGTGCAGGGGAAGGGAGAGAGGGCTGACAGAATACTAAACTTGCTGCTCCGAGATGATCAAAGCCTCAAAGAAATGGATGCAACATTCAAAGAGACTTGAGGAGCCAAAGGAGGAGAATGTCTTCTAATCATCTAACAACTTATTTTTGGCACAGTTTTTCACCCAATCACCTTCCACAGAAATAGGACACCTACATTAAAGAAATGCGTCAAGTATATGGGCACCAAACGCTGCAGTGTTTTCTGTCTTTACATGATCTTAGTGTGTGCTTCGACACATGCATATCTGGGTATGAATACGTATGATCTGCCGCAATAAGGGGAAAACAAAATAAGCAAAACTGTTTTTTAGATAACGAAGGACAGATAGAATACAAGTTTACTGTGTTTTACAGGGTGGGGAAAACACCAACTTTACTAAAACAATAGAGGAAAGTAGGGTGACAGTAGTCTATTTTTTTTAAAAAGTAACTATAGGACATATTTCAGTTATTCTAAAAATGGATAAGGCCGTTATTTTTTCCAGTTGGCACAAATCACTGTCTGAGAGGTCCTGGAAAGTATTGCAAGTATCAGAATCTGACTCAGCAAGCCAAAAAGAAAAGAAATTCACAAGCCACTCAAGCCCAAACATCCCGAGTCGTGCTTATGCAGTCATTCCATTTGGAAGAAGAAAATATAAGGATGCCGAGAGATGCCTGCAAGAGAATCTGAGAATTCAACTACTTACTGCCTTGACTGTCCTGTTCAGAGCAGCCAAATCAGGACCTTTCCTTGGACCTAACCGGAAGCCTCACCATGAATTCTGTGCACACAAGGGGTCCACACAGACTTCCGAGCTGTGCATCCAAGGGCTGAGGCAGCCAACGGCATTGCCAAGGATCAACAGCATGAAGGGTCTTCCCACCAGAGGATCACATAGGGACACCGACACTGGTGCTGTTGCATTGGGGACTGGGGAGCCTCCTTTTGCACTCAGGAAGGGGTTCACAAGGAGAGACCACCAAAGTGTCTCCCAGAACAACATCTTGGAGCTTCCCCTGTCTTCACTCTCAGAATGACTCTGCTTCTTGTCTTTGGTCCCTGTTCTCTAGCTGTAAGGGTAACCTCACACTGCAACGTTAATAAACTTCTTACGCTGCCACCTACGATCCCATCATTGCTTGATTATTTACCTCTACTTTTACTTGCACAATAATCTCTTTCGGACACCTTGTAAAAACAAACATCATTTGCACTCTATTCCCATACAACACCACATCAAATTGTTTACTTTTTCTTATAACGCACGATGAGCATTATAACGAGATCTATTTACTACCTCAGCTTTATTGGAGAATTAGCAAAGAACAGGAGTCCATGACTTAAACACATGCATCGATGCAACAAACACTTCTCTTGAAATGGGTTGTTTTTGTTTGCAATATTTTTTTAAAAGGTGGTGTGTGTTTTTTTTTTTTTTAACTTGAGGGGGTTATCAGTGGCAGCTGTAGAAAATCCACAGAGATACGAATGCATTGATGAATTAATGCCTGCCTCATCTACCAATGAAGTTGCTCTATGTGCAACTACAACAGCACGGGTTCTTCATGCATTATTCAGCTAAATCTAAAGCCCCAAATCACAAAAGCCCCACCTTCATCTGCTGAGTCCTGCTCTGCTCCAAAAAAATAAATAAATAAAAATCAAAGCAACACAACAGCCTAGCACTAGAATGTTCTCACAACAGTCACTTTTAGAGGGGGCAAACCCTCACATTTCACCAGGGCAGTCGCTGCAACAGTGAAACCAGGGTAATTTTTAAAGCTAACGGAAGATTTCGGTAGTCATTTCATTTCCAAAATTTTTTCTAGATCACGTTTTTAAAGGAATTTTTTCCTTTTTTATTCTTTTTATTAATCTGGTCGAAGCAAAGCACACATTTCCTTTATTGTCTGGATTACAGATTCTTATTAAACAAACCAGAGCTCATTATAAAATCAATATCAACTTAACCACCATGCCCCCAGGAGGAACAGCAAAAAGGTCACTCTAAGAAATTCAAACAATTTTCCTGCTGGAAGGGCATGATTTTAATTACAGATACTATTAATTAGAGCTGTCAGTGGAAAGATTTTTTTTTTCCTGTTAATTATCACAAACTCAGTCCTAAACAGGCATTTTCAACCTGCATTTTTGTAAAAATTGGGCATTTCTGCATGCAAAACCAACCTTCCCATGCTATCAATATTTTATAACTGAATTTCAAAGTATATCAAAGGACGCACACTTTCTAAAACATCTCCGCCCGTGTGATCTGCTGTCTCCCACGCATGGAACAGAACCAGTGTGATAATTTATTTATGTTCTGACACGGACTTGGCCCTGGGACCTGGCATCCCGGATTGATGGTCCTGTTCAATAGAACTTCTGCATGCAGTCTAGTAGTTTATGTGACATTTTTTTTTTTCAGGCTGCTTCTTCAAACACAGTTCTTTCCCTTTGCTTTGAAGCAAAGCCACGCTCTGCACGCGAAATGCCATCTGCACCGCATTTGAAGTTGCCATTTCTTCACAGGAAAAAAGATTGCGGTGCCCAGGCTTCTGACCCTCTCCGGAGAGCTAGAGTTTTTCTCCACGCAGTAGCAATACTAAAAATTTGAAATAGGAGAGTAGGCTATCTCCTGCTCTCTTTTAAGTATAGGGATTTTATCAATGCCTCCCAACTCCTTCTTTTGGAGCGAGTGAGAGCAGCTCCAGGCAGCAGATACGTCAGCTCAGACCGCCTCATGGAGAGGGGGCCACCAGGGCTGGTCAACTGGAAGGTATTTTCTGGAAAGAGCCTGCAAGCCCACCTAGGAAACTGACTATAGGATAATAAGATCTGCTTCATATATTTGAATGCAAAATACAATGAATTATTTACAAGGCAGAGAACACATCATAACCACGTGACTCAAGAAAACAAAGGACCGAGTCCAATGGAGGGAAAATCTCACACAAATTTACATTGATTGAACTAAAAAAAAAAAAAGCAGTGATTAAACGAATTATTTTAGCTTTGCAAATGGGAGTATACACTCCTATTTAAACACTATTCTACATGAAATCAAATGCCCACATATATGCTGGGTTTGCTTTGCTTTTAAAACTGAAGTCACGTTTTTTATTACAGCATACTATTAAAAGTGAAATGTTTGCTACAGAACCTTCTAAAACTGTATAGACTGTTTTCTGCCCAATTTGGCCTGAACCTGCCTTCCTCACATCCTCATTGGTCTAATTTATTGCCAGGTGTGTTTGCAAGCTCTCTGCATTTCCAGATGCTGCTGCCACTGTTGCCTCGTGGAAACACACCTGGTTTACCTGCAGCTGGTCAGCGTTATATCTCACTGTATCAGAATGATAGCAGAGGGTGGCAACACATCAGGTCAAAAGATCTGTTCTTGTAAGACCCTGAGTGGAAGTCGGTGACTTAAGAGCCATCTTCAAACATCTACGCAAGCAATTCATCTTGCAAGGCTGGAGCTTTCATTAACAGAGGCCAAAACTAAGAAAGATAACAGATGATACATAATTCATGTATTGTACTTTTCCCACATTTCTAATTAGCAACCTGCGTTCACAGCTAACAGGAGACTCTCCAAGAACAGCTCAAGATTAATACAAGAGCTGTAAAACTGTGGTTGCAAGGTATTTACATGAATGTTAATGAGAAGTTTCAATTGGCATCATAAAAGAATCCAAACTATGAATAAATGAGCAAGTGCCAGGGACGGGGGAGGAAATAACTCCAACACAGCACTTGGAAAAGCAGAGGGTCCTTTTACCTGGTACGCAGCCGTGGCATCTGCGCCTGGGTGGCCCCCTAGTCCGGACAGCTTCTCTCTCAGCTTGTAGTGAGAGCTGTGGCGGATGCAGTAGATGAGACCGGAAGTCAGGAGGACCCCCACGATGCAGGCAACCGAGAGGAAGGTGAGCACAACAAACTTGGTGGAGTCTTCTTGCTCTGCCTGATGAGGCAGGAGCTTGAGCTGGCTTTTCTGTGGAAAGGAAAGAGGTGGCCAGTTAGCCCTGAGTGAAGTCTCCACCTCCAGAAAAACCACCCTCTCCAATGCAACTTGAAAACATAGGCGTTAACACAACTGGAGAGCCAGACCAGACCCTGGAAGGGGATGCGGAAGTGTCACAATGGCGCCTTGCGGGACCTCGAAAAGGGGAAAGTTGTAGGCTTCCTCTTCTCCAACCCCAGCACCCCAGAGGTGCTGTTCTTCAAATTTAAGGTCAAGTCTCTGGCAGCTAGTTTGCTGTGTTAAGTGAAACAAAGTATCTGTCCCTACTCATAAGCAGGTGCAGCCGTGTATCCGAAGTTTGCACAATTGCCGCTTAGAGTGTGGTGGGCAGGCCAAGGGGGTGGAGTAACCCAGATCTGGTGGCACTTAACGAAAGTTGCAAAGTCAATCTTCAGTATGCAACCTAACGCGAGTAGCATTATGCACTTATCCTATTCCCATCCTTGCCATCACTTTAGTCATGTGGCCCTCCTGGGAACAACCCCACTTGCTCTTCGAGGGTGCACAGGGTACACAAGGGTACTTGCTCTTTCATCCAGCCCAAGGCACAGACCCCCAACAGCTGGCACCTAAGTGTGGTTCCTGGAAGGGAACCGCTAGCTACATCCTCGTCAGAATCCCGCAGGCGGACGGCCCGGGAAGTTCACTTCCCAGCCCAACGCCTGCCTGTACAGTCGGTTTCAGAGGACCAGGGCTAGATAGCAGAAAATCCTCCCGGGTCCATTTCACTTGTCTCCACGTGCAAACAGTTGCACGGCGCTCCCCTCATTAGCTTCATTAGAAGGTATATTAGCGACAATTAAAAACGCCACAGGAAAACGGGGAAGGCAGCGGGCAAACAGCCCGAGAGACTCTGGGCCAGCAGATCCCCGCTCCTGCCCCCCACAATTACTCGGGAAATGAATGGAAAAACATGTCCTGCCTCAGTCCCGGTTGCTACAAGAGAAGAACAATTAGCAAACTCTTTTCCACCACCTAATTTCGCGTGGTAACAAAATGGATTTTTCCCCATGAATGCCTGGCCGGCCTATTCATTATCTCTCCTCTATTAGTAATTTTCTGCTCCGTATTCAGCCTCCCGACTCTTCATTTCCTCCGGTCTCCGAGTGTACACAGTGCCTCTTATGTCAGGCCGGGCTCAGTTTTATCTTGTAATCATAAAGGCCACGAAAGCAATTATCGCCGGTCTTGACTGGAAAAGCTGGTCATTAATTAGCCTCCTTTTGCCTTCGGTGCCGCGGATTAGCCGGTGCTGGGACTGAGTTAATGGAAACGCGGGTTAAATGAGAAAAGGGGTCGGGATTTCGCTGCCTGGATGCGCGGCGACTCGGCGAGGACGCGGAGGTTTCCAGCTCGGCTGGCGGTGGACCGAGGGGAGGAGGGGTGCAAGGAAGGCGGGAGGCAGTCTAGGGGTGGGGGTTGGGAATGGGGAGGGATCTGGGATGATGACGAGGGGGCGGGGGCGGCCTGGGGACGCCCTGAGCAGGCCCCAGTGGCCGGGGCGCACGGCGGCATAAGGGACTCTGCGCGCACCGTGGCCCTGTCAGTGGAAGGAGCGGAAAGGGCCCCCTCCCCATTTCGCCCCAGCTCCTTCCTCTCATCCTCCTCCCCCACCCGTCTTCAACGCGCCCCCCTCCCCGGGGCTCACGCAGCAGCAGTTTCCAAAAGAGTAGTCCCTCCGCCCGATCCACCCCCGAAGGCAGCCGTAGACCCGAACCCCATCTCCCCCACCCCACTCCCCGCCGCGCGTGGTGACAGAACCAAAAACCACGTAGAGACGGGGAGGAGGGGGACGTCCCAATCACTGCGCCGTGCTACCCTGACGGGAGGGAGCGCGACTCCCCCCAGCTCCGCGGGGTCTCCCTCGGCCCCAAGAGCGGAATTTGCTTCGCGCCCATCCTGCCGCGGCTGTTGCCAGCACAGCCCGCTGCATCCCGCGCCTTCCCCGCGCTACTCGGCGGAGAGGAGGTGCAGAGCGCGGGGCAGGGGTGGGATGGAGGGACCGGGGAAGGCGAAGAGGAGGAGCGACCGAGACCCCGTGGAGAGCACCACGTCAGGTCCCCAGGCGCGCCCGGACAGGGGCCCTAGTTGCCAGTCGCCTCCCCGGGTCTTGTCCTGCAGGCAGGACCGCCTTCCTCCAGCTCCAGCCCAGAGGCTTGAATTGACACCTAGGTGGGCGGCCGTTGCCCACCGGACGATTCAGAGATCCTCGTCACGGGTGACCCCCGCGTTGTGCTGAGCCTCCGGTGGATCCTGCCTCGTCAGGGCAGACAGAATTCGAAGGATAACAAAGAAAGCTGCCGCAAGACGGGCAGAAAGGGCGCGAGCTTGTCCTCCCAATCCTAACCCGGGGGGCGGGGGGGGGGGGTTACTGCGCGCCCTCCCACCTGGCCTCCGCCGCAGGACAGGGCGTTCTCCGGGATCCCAGCGAAGCGTAGGGCATCCCCGGGGGTCCCACCCAGCCATCAGGAGGGCCTGGCGAGCCCACGTGGCTGGCTGTTCCGGGGATCGGGGACTTCGCGAACCTTCCCTCCCTGAGACTGAGGCGCATAAGTGTATGGCGACCAGCCTGCCTTCCAACTGACTCGCAGTACCACGGTACGTGGCAGACATACCAGGGCGCGTAGAGCTACTGGGCTCACGCGCGTCTCTCGGAGCCACCTGCCTCCTCATCTAACGAGGCCTGTTGGTCACTCCTGCGGGTGAAGAAGCAGCGAACACAAGGAACCACATGGAGCAGGCAGGTGGCAGGTGCTCACACGGTAGCCCGGCCCGGGTCTGCGCAGCACAGGGGAGACCAGGACCGGCGGCATCCTGGGGGGACCTAGCCAGTGTTCCTCCAAGGGATGTGGCACAGCCTGAGATATGAGACCACCCTTGCTGGCCCGCGAGGATACGGCCGACCCTTGCCAAGACCGAGAGCGGCTTGAGCCACTGCTGATTGTCCTTCACCGGGCCCGTGGGGATTTACTCAAAGGCCATGGGGGGGGGGGGGGGGGAGACAGAAAGAAAAAGTCAAAGAGAGCGACTGTTCTCACAGCTCAAAGTTCTCCTCCCTGGGCCCTTTTGGGGTCCCAGGTGCTCCTGGTGCACGAAGGACCGGAAAGCAAGGAGGCTGACCCTTCCCTATAGTCCCCTATCCTCGGCTCTCCTTCTGCTCCTTCCCCGTCTCACGTCCTAACTCGAGCTAAAACTTGGAAACCCAGAGACTGTAATGCCCCCAGGCAGGGGAAGCGGTCCTCGGCTTGCCTCCAGCAGCCCATTCACCGGATAGTTAGGGGCGGGGGTGAAGGATGTCCCTGACTCTGGTTGTGCCAGGATGGAGTTACCAATCTCAGGGTCGGGCTGGGACACGCTGCTTCCCAGCAGGCACCTCGGAAGGAACTCTTTCTCCTGGCTCCCCTAACCCTACACTTCTGAAGGTCCCGCCTAGCACTGTATAGAGATCAGGAGATGGCAGTTGGCCTGTAAGTCCCAGTTTAGAAATCCTAGCAGAAATGAAAACCATACAGAAAATGCTACTTTTTGGTTGTTATTTTCTTTCATTAATAAATTTAAACAACTTAATTTTTGTGGTGTATGACATTCAAAAAAAGATACTTATGACACCCCCTTCTCCCCCGCCCCCACACGAACTTAAAGGAAAAGAACTGAGTCTGCTGTTGGCTTGAAAATTAGGTTGGACAGTCCGTAAGCCAGCAGTGGCTTGGGTGGGCCTTGGACCCTTCCTCAGAGCCCCCACTTTCACCAACAGGCTCCCCTAGGCTGAGCAACTTCATATGAACTACACGCCCAGAAGAGAGGCCAGATTAATTAGAGGCATCTTATCAGTCTTGACTTGAAATGGAAAGAAAATGATGCTTAAATATTTATGACTCTGACATTTACAGTCAGACGTCTTTTAAAAGCAGAACACCTCCTTCTGCTCAGCCGCAGTTCGACTTGCTGAAAGTTGGAGCGGGGAAGGAGTGAGGAGGAGGAAGGTAGAGAGAGAGAGAGTAGACCCACACTCCTGCAAAGCGTGCCTGGTGGCACAGGTGCAGGGAAACCTCCCCCCGCAGACCTGCACAGTAACACAAGCGCTGGGGTGCACGAAAGATGCAAGCTGACTTAATCAGCAATTATCAGTCAACTTTGGACCAGTGGAGGTGGCTCCTGAGGGGAAGTAGCAGTCCAGTTCTGTATGTTTCTTCTATTATCCATCTCCACCTGCCACATGCAGTATTTCCAAAGTTGTAATTTAAAAGAAATATGTGACCACAGAGACCACTTACAGAATTGCTCTTAAAACCTAGACACTGCCTGGCCAATTTAAGCATTTTTTTTTTTTTAACCGGTGCTTGCAACTGGGAGTGCGTGGGACTCCTACTGAAGAGAGGTTCCTCTAGGCCACTTTATGGGAACACACCTTCAGAACTTCTCTGTGCCTGTGTAAGCTTATGAGAGAGAGAAAAAAACGAGCCTTCTGTGCCCAGTCTGTAGCCACACTCAACTATGAGAACTGAAACAGTCACACAAATACAAAACTCTATGGTAAATATTTATTGACAAATATTTAGTATTTTTCCAAGGTTATATAAAGTTACCAGTTTCCAAGAGCACCGTCCAAGTCATTGATTTGCAATTTTGAAATATGCTGGTACCAAAAAAACCCTTACACAATAATGAATCTCATTAATATTAAACTTCTAATACTGTCGATGTTTTCATTTGTTTCATTTCCAAGGAATTTGATTTGCAACCCCCGTGTGTCTGCACTTTTATGTTGCCATAATTATACAGAAAAACTTCTCCCCTGTAAAATTGCAAAACGAGTTTTAGAGACTATTAATGAATTGCTGTAACAAGTTTGCCTTCCATTGGCTAGATGAATCATCAGAGCTACTTGAAAACACCATTGTCAATTCACTAAGATAGTTAACTATCACTTTAAAAGCTGACCAGAATTCTTAAGTTTTCAGGCCATGGCA